GAAATACTGTGTTTCATGCAAAAAAAAAATCTCAAGAAGAGAGACATTTGGACAATCAAACTAATGAAGAGCTTGTAGAAATAATCAACGATAAAATGCAATAGAGAAATAGTTTGGAAATATCAGATCTACAGATCATTAGTTCCAAGTGACCATGCTTGTCACTTGGATAAGGATATTAAGAAGCTGGATAACGAATTTACCAGATTAATTTCAAGTTATATTGGAAAAGAGATTAAAAACACTGGGAATGTACCAGGAAAAAAATAATTATGTGCTTCCAGCCTTCAAATAAAACTTCATCTCTCAGTAAAATAAGGGAGATACTAAGAAGACACTAAGGAGAGAACAGGAGGAAAAGCTTTTTTTGTCAAGATCTAGAAAAAAATAATCATAGTATGGGTCGATGAAGCACTGATTATAGCAAAAAATCTGACTTTCTGAGATTGTGACAAACTGACTAACGAGCACGGGTAGCTCCTATATGAACTATTTAAAGTCTCAAAGGCAAAGTTACCACAAAAGCTGCTAAATAAAAAAATCGTACCCCACAGATGGTATCCTGAATAAGACACAATGTATTGCACTGAAAACAAGTGTCTGGCAAGTTTAAAATTAGCCTGATATTTATTTTGAGGTTAAGTGCAAAAATGATGCTATACTAAAAGATGTAGCAAAATAAGTGAAAGCAGAACGTGACACTAAGCAACCCAGAGAGACTGAAAGAACGACCAAAGGCTAGTTGGGTGAGGCACAAGAATTCTATTTAGAAAGACACAACTCACTGAGCAAAAGATATGAGAGAAGGGAAGAGAAGGAAAGGCAAAAAGGGAAGGAATAAGAGAAGACAAGTGTGACGGAAGATGTTCACTAAAATCTTAGAATCATAGAATCACAGAATGGTTTGGGTTGGAAGGGACCTCAAAGATCATCCAGTTCCAACCCCCCTGCCATGGGCAGGGAAACTCTCCACTACACCAGGTTGCCCAAAGCCTCATCCAACCTGGCCTTGAACACTTCCAGGGATGGGGCAGCCACAGCTTCTCTGGGCAACCTGTGCCAGTGCCTCACCACCCTCACAGTGAAAAATTTCTTCCTTCTATCCAATCTAAATCTCCCCTCTTTCAGTTTAAAGCCATTGCCCCTTGTCCTGTCACTACACACCCTTGGAAAAAGTCCCTCTCCAGCTTTCCTGTAGCCCCCTTTAGGTACTGGAAGGCTGCAATAAGATCCCCCCGGAGCCTTCTCTTCTCCAGGCTGAACAGCCCCAACTCTCTCAGCCTGGCTCCATAGCAGAGGTGCTCCAGCCCTCAGATCATCTTCGTGGCCTCCTCTGGACCCGCTCCAGCAGCTCCATGTCCTTCTTGTGCTGGGGACCCCAGAGCTGAACACAGTATGCCAGGTGGGGTCTCACGAGAGCTGAATACAGGGGCATATCTTCCTTTCATATCAACGGGCAGGAGAGACATTTTAGCACTCTACATGGATTAAGCAGTATAACACCTAGACATCAAGATTCAAGGTAGAGTTAAGAAGATGTAATGCATTCTGGAATAAAATTCAGGGAGACACACCATAAAGGTGTACTGGAACACATTTCAGATTTCTAATAACTTATTTCCTGTACTCAAAAGAGTTAAACTTGTTAACATAGTGTAATTACCTCTGATGATAATTACCTCTGCTATGAAGACAGGCTGGAGG